CCCCCCCCAAGTTGGGTCTTTGAGCTGGTTCCTTTAACCTCTAAACCAGGTTTCCTGAGTGATAGGAATGTCTCGTTATTTGTGGAGGGCTTCACTGACACCTAGCTAACTGTGCAAGAACGAAAGGGCAATCCGTTAGGGAGGGAGAGAAGGGCCAAGAGGCTGACTTCAACCAAGTGGACAATGATTTAACCCTGCCTACATAGTGAGAACTCATATACAAAGTCTGGATATTTAAGTCTGGATGAGCTTCTTGGTTGGTGACAAACATAAATACCAAGGAGGGAAAGACATATCTCTTGGGACACAGAAGTTACCCTCCATAGAAGACCCTCCTAGACCTTACCCTAGATGTTGCTACTGTATTCTTCTTGTTATAAAATTATAATCATACGAATAACACTTACCCAAGGTCTATGAATTATCAAGCCCCAGAGTAATAATTGGGACCCCCAAATCTCTAGGCATCTTGTCAAAAGAGAAAGTCCCCCGGGACCCTGAAACTTGGGGCCCATCTATCTGAAGTGCTGAGCAGGCTGGTGGGCCTTTACCCTTATTGTGTGAGATCCGACCTAACGCGGGGAGGTCAGGGTCAGAGGAAGAGCTGCATTTGCAGTTGGTATTGGGGAAGGCTTCTGGAGTTGGTGCTGGGAGACACACACCCTAATACACTGCTGCAGTTTGCTTTATCCAAAGAAGAAAATCAGGGTCAGTGTTACTCAAAATAAATAAATCAGGCGCTGATTTTATTAAATAAATCTAAGTAAACGTAAAACATGGCCAGGTTACTGATATTAACGCTGACTTATTAATGTTCCTTAGTTCTATTCTGAGGACCCTAGCGTACCAGCTGAACTGTAGAGCTATTCAATGTATGCCTGGTGTCTGCAGCTAAAAGTCACTCCTCTGGGAAAATGGAAAAACAAATGAAGGGAAAACAGAAGTTAAGAAATAGGAAAGATATCAAAGTATAAAGACACATACATGAATACTAAGAAAGTCAGAACTAGATGGGAATATTTACATGTTTTATTAAATCTTTACATACAGTCAGTAATTATAATCAAATACACAATTATATACAAGGATTATATACATTTTGCCCAGACTTTTACATCACAGTAGTTTCCCCTAGAAACATTGTATACATTTATCACCAAACAATAAAACCCAACAACAGTAGTGTTACAGCACCTGTTAGTACAGACATCTTTTTCATAAATTACATCATAAGAAAATATACGGCTGTAAATTGGGCTTTTAAAAATGTCTTTTATAAAATCTGAACATACAATATTTCATTCACAGAATGTTTTTTTCTATGTTCTGACTGAAGCCTTGTGCATAAAACGACCAGTGGGCATATTGACTACGTTCTTCCCCCACTCCCCCGCCCCCCTCAAATGATGGGGGCTATTTGAAATGACTTATGCTGAGCTTTTTTAAAGGATGAACTTGGCATGGGGTTGGCAAGAGAGCAAAGGCTGGTTTTACTGTAAGAAGGGTTGCGTGATGAGAATTTAAATAAATTAAAACGTGTGTTAGAGAAGTCAAAATCGTTTCCCTCTCGAACGCTGTGAGAAAAGAGGGAAGCACTAACAGACTCTGCTCGGTCACAGCAGTTGCTCTCCCGTGGGAAGCCTCCTAACAGTCAAAAACGAGAAAACAGGCCCAAGAAAATGCCCACCCCAGACAGCTCTAGTACAGTGCAACTCGTTCACACTTACAGCTTTATGGGAAAAGTATTGCAAATCAAGGTCTATCCTTCAAATGGACTTTAATAAACAGAAAAAAACTATAGCTATCATATTTGTAGCAGGTAAACAAGTTTTAAAGTGTAAAAATACCTGAATTAAATCCTTGCACTAGTATCTAACTTTTACCTTTCAGATAAAACCCTTCCTTGGCTCCAAGTCTGTAAACATTATTTAAATCCTTCTCAGTCAACCCTTTTGATGGCTGTGGTGATCACGTCTGCTCAGCCTCTCAGCAGGGAACATGTCACTGAGGTAGACCAGATGTTTCTAAACTCAAGGTCTTACAGAAACCCCTGAATTTTTAGGAAGCAAATGAAATGTCTAAGAAAGGTTTTAAAGTAACAAAACCAGAAATGAATGCTATGGGCGTTTTGACTTTGTGACAGTAAGTCAAGTAAATGAATGTAGAGTCAATTGGGCTTTGAAAGTGAACATCACACCCTCATTTCTTAACTAGGGAAAAGTCAAGTATTAGTCCTCTTAGGTATTAAGTGTAATTTGTTATTTTTTTCTACACCCCGCCCCCACTTTTTAGAATTCACTTTTTGAAACAAGTTCCAACACTTTGCTCTAGACTAGACCTCAATGAGAGACAACAGCTCCCCCTAATGGACAAAAGAAGGGAGTGTGACTGTAAATTGGCTTGTTTCATGAAAGCACTTGGAACCCTGCTGGTTCCACCCACTGCTGGAATTTACATTTTCACTCTGGAACTACTGAATCCAACTTGTGAATCAAGTTTCACAAGAGTCCCAGGGAATTCTTATGTGCACGGTGTACGTATTTTTATGTATAGAAGCCCTGGTAGCTCAGTGGGTTATGCTGTTGGGCAGCTAACCCAAAGGGTGAAAGGTCTGTGGTTCAAGCCTACCTGCTGCGAGAGAAAGAAGACTGGCTGCTCCAGTAAAGACACGCAGTTTGGGAAACTCGCGGGAGCAGCCCTCTGTCCCCGAGGGTCCTGGTTGACCCTAGGTTCTGATTCAGTAGATCTGGGATGGAAATGCTAATTATCAGCAGGGATAGAACCAGAAAGCCTTAGTCACCGGATCCTACATCATTAGGTTTTCCATGTTGTGGGGGGAAACAGTTGTCTGATAACTTTAGAAAAGTGGAGACAACAATGGCTTTGAGCTGCAAATACAAGAAACAAAGCAATGTGGGTAAGGCTTCTGTAGTCAAAGTCTCAGAGGAACATCTGCTCCTTTGCTCCAAGCCCCAGTCCTATAAATCAAGGCAAGGCAAGTCAAGTAATTAAGCTTCTGCTATTTTGGCAGCATTGCAATTAAGATGAACAAAGCACTATGTCTATCCTTCTTCGTACTCTATGCATTATAGTTCTATCTTCTTACACCAAATTTCACATGCAAACAGATAAAACTATCAATTTTGGTGTCAGATTTCATTAAGGGACAACAAAGATCTTTCTTGGGTACCACGACTTCTTTTTCCCCCAAAGGGAATTCTCTACCTGATTTATTGCTCACCAACCCAATTATGTTTAGCTGGAATTTTCAAAAGTGGCTATTTTATCCCCTTAGAAAAGAATTCGTTTACCTTGGACCTAAACATACTGTACATGAATATACATAACTACAATACAGCACTCACTGCGGCTCTTAACAGCTCAATACACAGCTTACGTTCATCAGTACCTCAAAACTGTGCGTCAGGATAGGTTATTGTGTAAAGAAACGGGAGAGGAAAAGGAGATGATGCCTCTTAAATATTTCTTCAGAACTGATTCAGATGTTTTCTTAAATAAATAAAATTCATAAAGGCATGATTTCGACTATACGGTTGTCTACAGATATTAACAACGTTTTCAATTTTTGAAAACTCAGAGGAAAGAAAAAATTCTCACTAAGCTATATGTTAATTGATAATGTATAAATCTTCTTACATAAGTCATCATAGGTTAATTTTCAGGTCCACAGAAGGACAAGAAAGCTTGGTGAAACAGTGGATTAAATGCTGGACTGTTAACCAAAAGATCAGTGGTTCAAATCTACCAGCTGCTCTGAAGGAGAAAGATGAAGCAGTCTGCTTCAGTAAAGATTTACAGTCTTGGAAACCCTATGGGGCTGTTCAACTCTGTCCTATATAATTATTTTGAAACAGAATCAATTCAACGGCTCTGCACATATCATAGAGACGATTTAGTTAAACAACAAAACCTGAAACCCACGATTCAAAGGAACATGTGATGATGGACTCCTTGGGTGCAACTTTAGAAGCTGATGTTTCAAAGAAGAAAAGCGGGCACTACCTCAGGATCTGCAGACTACCAGAGTTTTATCATGGCTGCGAAATATGGAAAAGTGAAGCAAAAGTTGTTGGCAATACAGGCCTTCTGGCTAAATGTAGGGTGCAATAAGGCTGAGGACTAGAGGCAATGACCTCTAAGAGAAATGAATTGGAAAGGGTTTATAACCTACCCTGCAAGAGTATAACACTAAATTCCATGTCAGAGTAGTCAGAGCCTTCCCAATGGGAAGTTCCTATTGCAACATCAAGTGTTAGGTAACCAGTTTTCCACAATATCCTATCTGACCTTTTGTACCTGGTCCCACGGATTATGCAAAACACACTGAGAAAAGTGCACTGCCTTCTCCTTTGGTTTACATTAAAAGGGCATTATTAAGATGAGAAAATAAAGTCATTGTGATCACTTGTCACAGAATGATGCAAGCGAGTGATACGCAAAGACCATGTCCTACCATGAGTGCATTTGTTTTGTAGCCACTGACGTCACTTGAGTGTTTTTGTAAAGGGAGCAAACAAGAATGCCCACAATGCCTCTCACCCCAAACCAAGGGAGCCAAAGGTCCCATAATTGGAAAGCTACACAAATTCCCCACTCCACCACTGACCAGATGTGCTTTCCGTCTCTCCAGAGACTGCAGGAACCCCCAGTACTCTCTCCCTAGCCCGAGGGGTTGCAGGACAGTGCATTGCTGCCATTTGGGGTGTGGGGGTAGGGATGATTTGAGTGTTTCCATTTTTGATGGGGCAGTTTTAACAAGGTCACTTCTAAGGCAACATACTCCAATTGCCACAGTAATGATGCCGGTCAGAACGTGGTTGCTCACCCCCATACTTAACGCCTCCCAACAGAGAGCCTATTTCGTATTCGGGTGTCTACTGACCACAGCAGTTTGCCTTTTCTCTTTAAATACCTACCACCAGATTCCTTAGTGAGTCATAGTTCATCTTTCTCCATCATTTCAAAAGCTTCTATATCTTCATTCCAGTCTGCTAATATGGAGTCTATAGGCTGGGCTTTTTGGCCCCAGCTAACATTAGGATTGGAGTCTTCCTCCGTTTCTGATGGCTCTTGAGGTTGGTCGTCTAAATCTGTACATTCACCACCGAGACTTGTGCTCTCGTGGTTTTCTGTGGGGTCGGAATTCTGTTCGGAGGGGGAAATGTTTGCAGCATTGTCCATCTCTGCTGGAGATGGTGCGCCCGCTGGTTCCGGGGGAGGGCTTAGAGCACGTTCTTCAGGAGCCGCTTGCTCAGCCAGATCAGGGTCCTGAGAACTTGATGTGATGATCTGTTCGGCACTCTGATTTGGAGGATCATTTTCAGAGGATGGCTGTTCTTCACTTTCCATCTCAGGATCTGTATTAAAAAAAGAATCACACTTCATGATACTTTACCCTGAAACAATGGACTGTTACATTTTCGAGATCATCCTGATTATTGTCATACGATGAAGAAATAAAAAACGTAAGGCTCATCATAGTACTGTAGAATGGTGCCCATTACCACCAAAAAGGAATAATCCCCTTCCAGCTATGAAATCACAATTGGGGCGGGGGGGTGGGGTGGGGGGGGGGGAGGAGGGCATTCATTTTGCAAAATGTGCCAGAATTATGTTTTCTTGCAAATGGAAAGAAATGTCTCTAAAAATGACTGCCCATTATATTAATAAGTGCCAAGAAATAAACTGAGTAGTAAAGTTCATTTAAAATTGCAGCTGATGAAGAGCTGATACATAAGGCTCAATAGAAAGTAAATGTCCAGAAAATAATGATGGCAACATATATACAAATATGTTTGATACAACTGATGTATGGATTGTTATAAAAGCTGTAATAGCCCCTAATAAAATTATCTTTAAATCAAAAAGAAAGGAAGAAAGAAAAAAATTGCAACTTACATCTAAAAGGTCTTCATCTAAACTCAGGAAAGCTTGCATATGAGAACATACTAACTACAATAAACTTTAAACAGTACATGTTTACCACTCCTATATTTTAAGATAATATTCTTTTGAAGTTAAATTCTCACTCAGGAAGCCATGAAAATCCATATAATACAGGGCTTTGTGTAATTAAGAATACTAATGTTATACCTGAAATAAAATATTTTTGCCGAGAATGTGAGATTGTTTTTCAAATCCCCATTTAATCCGTGCAGGTCTATATGTGACCTGCTGTCACTGAGTTGACCCCAGCTCAGAGTGGGGGTCCTTCACGAAGGGGCAGGTGCTGACAGGGCAAGGATGAGCAGCCTTGGCGGCACCATCAGAGGACAGGGAGGCTGGCACTCCATGCAGGGTTGCCAGGAACCGGACTTCACCGGATGGCAGTAGATTTACCATCAACTAGGAAGAGCGGGAAGGGAGGAGTACTCCAAATAGAGGAAACACGGTGCACAAAGGGACTTAGTGGGAATGAAAATAGTCAGAGGTACTAGAGCTAAGCAAGAAAGGAAAATAGTGAGAGAAGTGGATTCACCAGGAGCCACACAGCTTGAGCTGGCTGTGTAGGCCCTATTACACAGTTTTCCCTTTTTCCTGAAAGAAATGGGATTCATTAAAAACAGAGGCATAACATGACCCAATTTTCAATTTCAAAATATATTTCTGGCTAAAGGGTGAAGAATCGATTAGAAAAAAGTCCCCCAAAGCAGCTACTGCGTAACTCCGGAAGTGATGACGACCAGGACTACGACCATGATGGGGAAGTGGAGCTGAAAGGCGGTGGCTTCAGAGGGACACAGAACCAGTGATGGACTGCACCTATGAAGGCACGGGGCGGAGGGGGGGTGGTGGTCAAAGATGAGTTTCTGACTTGTGCAAGTGGATGCAGTGATGCTTTACTTTGGTGGGCGGTGCTGGTTGTTCTGAGGGGTCTAGGAGGAAGAGGAGGGCCATACATATGGTTTTGAGATGCCTTTGAAAGATGAAAAGGAATTGTTAAGTAGATAGTTGAATACATAAGACTTGTTGCTCAGATGAGAGAAGTTTGCAGGCTGACGTGAAGTTGTGGGTCATCTGTAAAGGGGGCAGGGGAGCGACTGCCCAGCCAGAAAGCACAGGGAAGAGAAGGCCTAGCTTGAGGAACGCCCACACTTCATGACAAGGTACAAGAGCAAAGGAACATCCAGAAACAATAGGCCTAAGTTCACAAAAACACTGTGTTATGAAAGCTAAAATACAGTGTTTCAAGAAGGAGGGAATGTAGCGTGTGGGGTCTTAAAGGCTTGAAGGTAAACAAGTGGTCATCTAGCTGAGAAGTAACAAAGCCCACATGGAAGAAGCACACCAGCCTGTGTCGATAGGATCAGGTATCAGGCACCAAAGAACAAAAGAATCATATCAATGTGAATGAGGGGGAGGGTGGAGTGGAGACCCAAAGCCCATCTGTAGGCAATTGGACATCCCCTTACAGAGGGTCACAAGGAAGAAATAAGCCAGTCAGGGTGCAGCATAGCACCAACGAAACATACCACTTTCCAAAATTCCTTAATGCTTCCTCCCCACAGCTATCATGACCCCAATTCTACCTTACAAATCCGACTAGACCAGTGCATGAACACTTGTACAAATAAGAGCTCGCAACACAGGGAATCCAGGAGAGACAAACCCCTCAGGACCACTAATGAGAGTAGTGATACCAGGAGGGTACAGGGAAGGTGGTGGGGAGAAAGGGGGTACTGATCACAATGATTAACATATAACCCACTCCCAGGGGGACATACAACAGAAATGTGTAGTGAAGGGAGACAGCGCTCAGTGTAAGACATGAAAAAAAAATTATAAATTATCAAGGATTCATGAGGGATGGAGGGTGGGGGAGGGGAGAAGATGAGCTGATACCAAGGGCTCAAGTATAAAGAAAATGTTTTGAAAATGATGATTGCAACAAATGTCCAAACGTGTTTGACACAATAGATGGATGTATAGATTGTGATAAGAGCAGTAAGGGCCTCCAATAAAACAATTTTTTAAAATGGTGCTTGATAATTGACAAGTCAGTAGAAAAGAAACTTAGACTTGTAACTATATCATATTTAAAAATCAATTTTAAAAATGCAAAAAATAAGACTATAAAAATTTCAGAAGAAAATTTAGGAAAATATTATGTAAAATCAGGATGAAATGACCATCTGAAGCAAGGCTGGAAACTGGAGCCCTAAAGGACCCTATAGGACAAGAGCTCTGTGACGCTCCGAGACTAATTCTTCACAGGAGCTCGAAAGCCCCATCTTCCTCCTGTGCAGTGGACAGATGGTGGTTTCAAACTACAGATCTTTTGGTTAGTAGTCCAGTGCATAACCACCATGCCACTAGGGCTCCAATTAATAGAAAGGTCCTAAAGTTACTTAGAAAAATACAAAAATTATTTTAAATGGGCCAAACATGTAAATAGGCAATTGAGAAAAGAGAAAAGGTAAATTATGATGATTGCACAAATTATAAAACAATTTAACAATTAAATTGTGATATGTGAAGTATAGCCCAATAAAAGCAGAGAAAAAGTTAAATGAAAAAATGTACTTACAAAAGGAAATGTAAGCAAATGCAAAGTATCATTTTCACTTATTAGATTTATGTGATCAATCCAATGCTGCCTTGAATAAGGGGAAAGATCCATTCTCAAATCTTGCTAGAAAGGATCTGAATTGCTAAAATCATCAAGTATTGTGTATAACTGGTAATATCTATTAAAAGTCTAAAAGATGCATCCTTTTCCCTGGCATTCGACTTTTGAGAATCTAAAATTTCTAGACAAGTAAAAGTATTAATATGTAGGAAGATATGCACAAGAATATTTTCTATACCATTGCTTGGACTGGACAAAGACCTGGAAATAATTTAATGCCAATTAGTGGGAAAGTAAAATAAATAATGGCATGGCCATGCTATAAAATGTAATACACATTTTTAAAAGAATAAGCTATGCACTCCTACTAGTTTGGAAGGACATATTTATATAGACTTAATGCTTAAAAAGTCAAGTAACTGAATGGTATACATACATGATCTCATTTTTTGAAAAGAAGAGAAAGGGATAATTAAAAACAGAGGAAGATATAAAATGCTAAACACCAAACTGCTAACAGCAGTTAGTTATTTCAGGAAGATGACTATTAAATCTTTCTGACTACATCTCTTTATTACAAGTTGAAAAGCTGTTTGAAAGATGACAAGGATCACTCTATAAAACACTGAACAAAAGAGAATACAGAGGGCCCCTGAAGGAGAAGGCAGGGGGCTTGGGGCATTCTGAAGAAGATATTCATAGAAGAAAAGACTGTGTTTCAAAGGCATATGGACAACAGAACAGGAGGGAAGGCAGCGACCAAGAAAGTGAAAACGACAGCTACAGCGGTGCAGAGAGGTTGTAAGGGCCGCTGCACAAATCTTTCTGCGGTCCCTACTGTCACCTACAGAGGGGTACTCAACCCCCCTACCCCCGCCATGGTATATGTTTAAATTTGTTTACAAGATAACCTCATCACTTCAAAGAACTCTCCATTACACCTGATACATTTGTCAAATCTGCAATTCCATTTTTGGAAACATTTTTCAAACACATCTGTTTGGATGGCTGACAGCACCTCCCTCATTTTTTCCTCATCTTTTCTATGTCATTACATTGCTGTCCTTTCGTGTCCCTCTTCATTCGCAGAAAACAAAAAGAATTCGCACAGAGTGAAGTAAGGTGAGTAAGGTGCACGGGGCAAGGGAGACATGCTGTTTTTTTGCCCAAAACTGGCACACTGAGATGACTGCATGGGCAGGTGCATTGTCCTGGTGACAAAATCAGTCCCCCATCTACCACAAATCAGGCCTTCTTTGTCACACACTGTTACGCAATCTTTTCAGAACCTCTAAATAGAAACTTGGCTAACAGTCTGACCTGGTAGAACAAATTCCAAATGCACTATGAGTTAACATTTTCATTCATTCAGGAAGGTGATGGGTGTCCAGAACGAGGTTTGTCATCAATTGACATTTCACCTGTTTTGAAATGAGATAACCACTCATACACTTGAGTTTTTCCCATAGCACTGTCCTTGTAAGCTGTATTCAACACCACAATAGTTTCTGCAGTATTTTTCCCTGCGCAGGAAACAAAAATTCACAGCCGCCAGATGTTCTCTGAAATCACCCATCACAAAAAAATGAGGTTTGAGTGAAAATGCTTTTATGAAAAAAATTCACTTAGACCAGAGAGAACCTTCACAGGCACCACCACTGGGTGCACTAACTCAGTTGCTGATGCTTACCTAGCAGGGAAAAATGCATACCACACAACCTCTGTTCTGCCCAGCACAATTCCAGGTTTTTTGGGGTACCCCCTTGCATACCTGAGCATCATAGATTGGTGGGTATAACAACTACTACCTTAGATTCAGGAATGCAGAAAGCAAAGAAATAAAGGAGAGCATTCCAAGATATAAAAAAAAAGAAAATCAAGAGTCTCAATGTTTGGGATAGTTACTAAAGGGAAAAGAGAACCTTGGCAAAGACTCATAGACTGTATGTTTGAAAATCAACCATCCATCCATTCAACAGGCACTGAAAACAAGGTACAGAGAGATGAAAAAAACAGGTAAAGAACCATATTGTAATGAAAATATTAAGTAGAGCCATAGTTAAAAGATACCTGTAAAATATGCAGAGTCGTGGGGGTTCTGGGTTAGTGAAACCATTCTGTCTGGTACTGTGATGGTGCACACACGACATCATGCACTTGTTGAATGCCATTGTTACTGTTGTTAGGTGACACTGAGACAGCTCCCACCCACAGCAACCCAGTGCACAACAGAACGAAACGCTGCCCGGTCCTGCGCTGTCCTCACAGTTGTTCCTGCGCCTGAGCTCACTGTTGCAGCCACTGTGTCCGCCATCTCCTTGCGGGCCTTCCGCTTTTTCACCATCCCTCCACTTTACCAAACATGATGTCCTAATGTAAACTATGGACTTCAGTTAACAATATTTTTCATTAATTTTAAGAAATGGACCATGATATCAGTAAGATATTAGTATAGAAGAAACTGTGTGTTTCTGAGAGGGACACAGAGCTTACTGTACTTTCAGCTCATTTTTAAAATAAACCTGAAACTGCTGTTAAATAAAAAAGATACCCTTAATTTTCCCTCGTAGAATAAGAGACCATTCCATAGAAAGTGGCATTTTAAACCGAGTAGCTAGGATGGCTATATGACGTGCAAAGAGGAAAAGGGCTGCAGGTGTGGGGTAGCGGTTGAGACTGATACGGCAGGGAGAAAGCACACGAGAACGCATGACTTGAAGAGGGAGACTAGTTCAGTGAACTCTGCTACTTAGCCAGTTTCCAGTGATCCCACCCAGGCAAAGAGGCCGTCTTCAGTAGTTTTACATTTTCCCCCTTGAGATCAAGTCTTTTCCTAAGCAGCCGAAGTATTGCACATTACCATTCACCCCGATCAAGATGAGCAGGGGGTGATCTTAGGAAAACTGACACTGCGTGTCTTAAAGCTGGAGCAGTGCAAACCATAGGACCTTTCTTCTTCCATTTTCTAAATCTGCCTCTTTACTGGAGAATGACAGAATGACAGACAGACAGACAGACAGACAGACAGACAGACAGAGAGGAGCCCTGTCTAAGCCTTACGACACCAGCTTCCGCCATAAGCCACAAGCATGACAATGGACTAGAACGTAAAAATAAACATCTCCCCCCTTTGAGAACTGTTATTGATAAACTACTCTAATTGCAAGCCACTGTTATAATTATTATTAAGAACCTTTAAAGACTCCATCCATTTTAGAAAGTTTGGAGCATATGAAAGAGAATATGTGAACATTACAAATTCTTTTCAACATCATGCTGTGGGGAAATTAGCTTTCAGATTGGTTGGAACTAAGAAGGCAAACAAAAAGCAACTACTCAGGCTTTAGCTTCTAAAAACTAATATGTAATAAGATACCTAGAAACTTTTCCAGCAGCTCGAACTGCTTTCTATGTATCTATACTCCTGCTTGGACTTTACTATCGAAATAAGAAGACGGGGTAAGAACTTACTTTGTACCTTTTCTCTTTCTGCATTAATATGTGGGAATGAGAAATAATCAGTGATACTGAGTGGCTTTCATGGAAAATCGGTATTTTAGGAATGAGATTTTTTGGAGTGGGCAAGCTGGAGGATAGTTATTGGCACTTTCTTTCACCCACTGTGTGTGTGAGAGAGTGAGCGCTGCCGTCTTCTCAACATGAAACTTGTGAAAATGGAAATAATTCAGAGGTGTCTTAGGAAAACTCTAATCTCTCATTATTTAGTGGGCTTTAAGGATGTTATTATTTGGCATTCTTATTACAAAAAAATCCAACAGCACAATATGGCTGGCACAGATTGGGAGGGAGAGGCTGCCCTCCGGATCTTGTTCTCAGTTGCTCAGAGGGCAGCCGTAGCACCGTTACCTGGGCTGCCACCTCAGAAGTTCAGATTCCTCTCTCTCGCCTTCAGACTCAATATTCTGGAGTAAGATTTAAGGGGGTACACTCTAACCAACAGTCCTGCACTCTGATTCTGGTGAGAATCACTGAGGCATAAGTAATGGCATAAACCAGAGTGATCCTAACATTAATTCTTTATTATGCTTTCCTAAGTGAATAATGTAGTTGATTTGTAAACTATCAGTGCTACCTAGATAAATACCAATAATTTATTGCTAATCTAGCTAGTAAATCTGCAGTTTTCAAAAAGAGCTATTTCACAAAAAAGACTTTTCAAGACCTTTTATCCAAATATCATCCCAGCATCAGAACCACATTTCAATAAATTTAGCCTACAAAAACTTTTAAAAATATTTTAAATAAGTATATAAAATATATTTTAAATATTTTAAACTACAAGGGCCCTAAGATAATAAATAGTACTCAAAGAAAAAAATTTTTTTTCTAATAGAAATTTCCTATTTCCCATATTATTTCTCTGGTATGGGAAACATTGTGGCCATAATTTCTTAGTCCTAGTCCCTGCTTTCTCCCTACTCCTGTCCCACATATGACTTCAAAACAACTCAACGTTTAAATTATCTTACAATGCAATCAATACAAAAGTGATCAAGAGTGATAAATGACAAAACAAGATCTATGAGCAGGTGACTCCTGCATGAAAATGAACTGAGAATCTATCATTCGAGATGAGTAAGTAATAGAATTTATCATGGAAAGATAAAGTGGTCTTATTTATGGGACAGTTGACTAGACATGGAAATAATCTAATTACACGGAACCAAGTATTATCATGGCATCCACTGAAACAAAATTATATATATGTATATATATATATATATACACACACCCATAGACACATACGTATATACATATATATAACTTAAGGTTTATTAATGTAAGATACTTACTACTATTAATAATGTAGTTTGGAATCATTTTACCTTTTAAGATTGCTGCTGAAATTCCAATGGTAGCACAGAGTAGGGGGAAAAAAGCAGAGGCATTAAAGGGTTTACATGAATAATAATTTACCCATGTCTGATGTGTCTAAATGCACACATGTAGAAAAGATCTGAATTCAGAGAAAGCCCGCCCCCACTAAAACCCGGGGCCTGTAAGAGGATTTGGGAAGATGAGAGCGCGTCCATATTCTGCCCTGCCCCCAGGTACACATCCCCAATGCACACGCCCAGCCACTGCACTTCTCTGATGGGGCTGGCGTCTGACAGCTCTCCACCAAGAGCACATCAACACAAGAAAAGGCAAAGCAAAGCACTAAGTAGGCTAGCACAAGGTTATCACTAAATGCTTCTTTTTAAGATGTCCCACTTGGAAGTTACACTAAATCAGCTTCCCTATACCTCAAGTGGTACAAGGATATAACAACTATAAAAATGAGACAACCTTATCTCATTAAGGGAGATGGGAGGAGTGCTACATCTCTACAGAAGTCTCTAGTAGATAAGAACGGCCAGGATCATAAGTACAGTTTATGCCTAATGGCCGACTTTCCGGGATTGCCGGGTGGAAACTATAGAGAACACTACTAAGACCTTGCCTTTTTACAGTAATTTGGGTTTGACAGAGGATTTAAATTGTTAACAAAATTTTATTTTGGCCTAAACAGCACTACAAGGGGTGGGGGTGGTGGAGGTTCCAAAAGTTCATGGACATATAGAATTCAAAGGTAATGGAATTTTTCCATGAATTTCTTGAAGTTCCCTCATATGTACGCTCATAAGCAAACTATCTTGTTCTTCAGACATTAGTCATTTGTGACTCTCGTCACTTACAAATACACTGGATTCCCCCTAGTAGTAGTTCTTTTGCTGAATAAAGCCACTGACAATGCTGACATCAGTGGGTACTGAGCCAGCGCTCCTCATGAATGAAAGGCTCAGTTCCTGTGAGCCTCTGCTGACAACTGAACAATCAATAACCCTGATTTATGGGGGCTTTGTTTAAAGATACTGTACTTAACACAGATCCTTCATTCGTCAACACTGCACTCACAGCCAAGGACTACAGCCTGACAGAGCTTACGTAACACCCCATTTTCTCTGCAAAGCACATCACAGCCTTCTTGTACTTAGGAACAGGGGGCCAAGACTTCAGACAGGGCTTGGAGCCGGTTTCAGTTAAGTCATCAACAAAAAAGATAAAAATGAGGGAGAATCTGGCACTAAATAGTCCACAAGAGACATTTGTTTACAGTATGCGAGCTGAAACAAGGCAGAATGCTGCCTTGTTCAACCTCAGCTTGCAACCTGAGAAATGAGGACTCGGTTTCTCTGCCCCACTGTATGTTAGAGAATGACAATGAACGCTCTCCCAGTACTGATCAGGGGTCATAAATCCATTTTCGTGAGTAGGCGACTTTGCAAATGCAAAATCAGCAAATCATGAGGATGACTGTATCTATGGAATAATACACTTGAGCTCGGGGGAGAAGCTGTTAGGTTTCTATAGTGTTTATCAAGAGAGTGGTCCGTTGACACACCGCCTGGCAGCAGGCACTATTACTATGTTTTAATAAGCATTCGGTCCTCCTCTTTCCTTACAAAGGAAATGTACGATGAAACTGAACAGTGCACATCACTGGGTGTTAAAACGAGTTTCTCAAGGTAATCCCTTATGTTTTCATCACTTCAGAATCGTGGCAAAATTACATATTAAAACAGAAGTCTAGAAATCTGAAGCGAAGATTTTACTACTTACACCCAAAAGAAAAATGATTTTGAAATATCCTTCCAAAACACTTTGCAACTCATTTTTGTTATGAAACTACTAAGATTAATGCTTAATTGCATTAAACAAACGGATACTTTTTACCCTTACCTCGATCTTTTGCTTTATCAGAAAGGAGCACTTCTACGTCCTCATATTCCCGAATAGCATCCAGGATGATGCTTCCTTCTTTGCTGAATAGGAAGAGCATGGGGATCTTGATGTCGTCTGTGTCCTTCCCATCCCCAGCCATCTGGAACAGAGGGGCGGTATCGCTGCTGCTCCCCTCATTGTCGTCTGGTCAAGAATGAACACAGCACACGTAAAACATTTGCCCACTTAAAACAAACAAGCAAGCGACCAGCCTTTATTGATTCCCTGTTGAGAGCATGCTAACTTCAATTAAATCATCATATCACAAGATATTAACCTTGATTTTATATACCAAGAACTTCATCAGGCATGCTTCCTGGACCCCATAATTCTACTTCTACAAATTTAAGAAAATAATCAAAAGAGACAGAAAGTTCTATTGCTAAAAGTTGACTTGGAGTGCTATTTACAATTATGAACAACTATAAAACATTTTAAAGAAATGAAAGTGCAATATGTGTATACATAATCTTTTAACCTTACTTAAACAAACAATAAACCCAAAGCTATTGCTACAAGACAGCGTAGATAGAGCTGCCCCATTCTTTATGGCAGCATATTGTCACTTCTTTCTCCCAAGGGACAGCAGGTGAGTTCAAATAACCAACCTTTCAGTTAACAGCCAAGTACTTAAGACCTATCTTACTCATATATTACAGGCCTGTAATAACTATTTTCCTTAAAACACCTTATCTTGAAGAAGTGGTACGGAAGAATGTAGGTCACCTGCTGCTGCTGAGTTGATTCTGACTAAAGGCCACTCTTGGACAGAAGAGAACCGCCCAGAGGGTTTCCAAGGCTGGAAATTGTGACGGGAGCAGACTGCTTTCTCCCCGGAGCAGCTGGTGGGTCAGTAGCCCAGCCCTTCACCCCTGTGCTACCAGGGCTCCTTCGCAATCACTTTACAAGAGTATTTGTTACCACTTTCACTGCAGTTCACCTTAGTTCGTGAAAAGCTAAAGAAACAGAAGCTTCATTGAAGCTTCACTGAGGTCACACAGTGACTCTGTGGCTGAGCCAAGACCCGAACTGGGGTGTGTCTCCCCGCCAAAGCCTGCATCTCCGTGGAGGAATGGAGGTGACAAAGTATACTTCCTATACTTGGACAGCTTTGGATGGTCCTAGGTGGGTTTTTTGTTTGTTTGTTTGTTTGTTTTCTTTTGGTCCCAGGTGTTTTTACCACTCATCTACCCACCCACCCCCACTCACATCAGGGTCTAAGTTTTTTTAAAAAATCATTTTATTAGAGGCTTGTACAGCTCTTATCACAATCCATCCATCCATCCATCGTGTCAAGCACATTTGTACATTTTTTGCCATCATCATTTTCAAAACATTTTCTTTCTACTTGAGCCCTTGATATCATTAACCCTTGATAATTTATAAATTATTATTTTTCCATGTCTTACACTGACCGATGTCTCCCTTCACCCACTTTTCTGTTGTCCATCCCCTTGTGAGGGGGTTATATGTAGATCATTATGATCGATTCTCCCTTTCTCCCTCCATCTTTCCCTTACCCTCTTGGTATCCCTACTCTCATTATTGGTCCTGAAGGGCTTATCTGTCAGGTCTAAGTATTTTACTGGTATTAATATACAGAAAACTAAAGCTAGGCTTTCAAAAGATTCTATGGAGGTATTTAGAAATTAAACAGAAAGTCATTATGTACCTACTGAGTTACCTATCCTTGATGGTGTGCAAATGTAAGAATAATATGACAAACCCTTTGATGAAACTTCTGAAAAGGAGACATTCTGAAAATCGTCTCTTCCACAGTAGCAGGGACTGCTGCTTACCAATAACAATGCCGCCAATGGCGCCAGCGTTCTGGATGTTGCGCGCCTTTTCTGCAAACATGCACTGTCCTCTTTGTATCAGAGCAATTTTCCCCATCACTGCTTCTGGGTTGGTAAGTTCTGAGCAACCATTGTATGGTTTACTGCTTGCAACAAATCCTCTTGTCTGTCAGAAATAAAAATAGTTAAATATTCTTTTATTTCTTAAATCACTATCTAGTCATATTAAACCTCAAAACCTAGAATGTCAAGAGAACTAAACTCATTTTTGATAACATGTCCATCTTTGATAACCTAGGCAATATACATTGAACTTAACTTTGTCTTAAACATTTTGTGTGTTATAGTACCCAACCAACATTTCTATTATATTTTGTAATTCATAAATTACTACACATGATCTTTACAATGACTCTTGAGGAGAACGATACAGGTAATGTTTCTATTTTATACACACAGTGAAACTGAATCTTAAGTTACATAATGTGTGCAAAGGCATAATGCTCATAAGTAATGAGGTTGAACCTATACCCAGACTCACTTTAAACCCACATCAACTCTTACAAAAGCTAGGAAACATTTTAAATCATTATTGTCTGAAACAATTTTGAAAGAGGAAAAAATTCGATTTAGTCTACACGAAACTGTAAACAATTCTTCTTCCTAAAATAATTAAATCCACCCTAGAACTGAGTTCTAAAAAGATGTTAGTAAACTCCACGAGAGTATGGTTGATCATCGGTTTGAGGCTGTAACTGTTTACAGGAGTAGAAAGCCCAGTCTTTCTCCCGCAGAGCTGCTGGTGGTTTTGAACTGCTGACCATGAAGATCACAGCCCAACATGCAACCAGTGTACCATCGAGACTCCTAAGAGTTAAGAGTATCTGAATATTTGAACTCCAATTCTGTAAGTATATTATGCACAATAATTTTGACTCAAATTTCAAGATGTAAATTTTACTCTACTTCAACCTGGGAGACTGAAGTAAATGAAAGTACAATTTTAGATTTTTTAAATGTACTAAAACAAGTTAGAATGGGACTAAGAAATGAAGACCATATTTAAACAGTATTTAATATTTTAAATTCAATTCCATCAAGCACATCACGAGCAGACACACCTCTTTATGCTTCGACAGATCCAGCCCAAACTGAGCTGGCCCAGCGGTCAACACGACCCTGCCAAAAAACGGGTGGGAAACAATCTGCACAGCCCGTGGGGGGAGCTGCTGTTCTTTCTGCTGCTGACTTGACAGTTCAATCATCTCCTGCATGAACCTCAACCCATCTTCAGCATCAATGGAACTTGCAGCCTACAGAAAGAAACAATTAATTTCAGTCTTCTTTTCTGGGAACGCCTACTTAATTTTCCGGTTTCGTCTACACTACTGCACTGTAGCTTTCCTATATACTATATACATATATAACTATAGACTATATATACACTATATATAACTAT